AGAGAGAGAGAGAGAGAGAGAGAGAGAGAGAGAGAGAGAGAGAAAGGGAATATATATATAGAGCGAGAGAGAGAGAAAGAGAGAGAGAGAGAGAGAGAGAGAGAGAGAGAGAGAGAGAGAGAGAGAGAGAGGAGAGAAAGGTTTATGGATACTGAATCCCATATTCACAGTTCACAACGTTAGCCTCACGATGCAGCAACGCAAGCCTGAAGAAGAATGGCAGGTAAGAGATCAGGCCTAATGTGGCAGTGATAGTTATCAGTGCACATTACCTCTCCACATTCGCTCTTTCGTATGCATCTTTAGTAGATAAATATGATTTTACAACTGGAGTAACTTCTCCTATTTGAGCTTCGTTTTCCATTGCTGCCTCCCCGTGCTGCTCAGCTTCCGAGAAGGTCTGATAATTCTCTATGGAGACTGCGTAGTCATCTGCTCGGCTACAATTATGCAAATTAGTAAAACAAGAAAAGTATGGCGAGAGCTCGTTTACAGCTGGAAGTTTTTAGTACACGACATATATATATATATATGTATATATATGTATGGAAGATATATAGGTATATATATATATACATATGTGTGTGTGTATATGTATATATATATACATATATTCATTAATTGTTAACATATAAATAAGGAATAATAACACGGACAACAGGAACCTTTTATCGCGTGATATCTGCGAGGTGATCAGGTGATGTGATTGACTTGATGGTCCGATGACCTGTGACAGGTGACAGCTGTCAGATTTGACTGTTTGAGATCCCAACACCGATTGCAATTGTACAGCTCTGGGAATAGATTCAGAGAATGCGCATATCAAAAATACTAACCCATAGCTGTCATATGGCTGGTGCATATACACACGTACGCGCGCACAAACAGGCACGATATCGTAGGAGTGGTAGAGAAAGCTGAGGGGTGAGCGATCGACAAAATAATAAAATGAATTTAAAAAAAAGACATGCCTACAGATAGAATTTTATCATATAAATCTATGCTAGAATACCTCCTCTCTACTTTAAATGCATAATTTTCGCAAAACATAATTCTTCACGGAAGATATTGCGCATGCGCGAGCACCGTTTCTGGAGGGCAGTACGGACTAAAGTCAAGTGCATAATATATAGCTTGCTGAGAGAGAGAGAGGAGCGGAAGACTGAGGAAAGGCGGCAGGGAAGATATCTTAGGAGTGGTAGAAAAAGAAGGAGGCTGAGCGAGCCACAAAAGAGGCAGGCAAAGGAGGGGAGTGGATGAAATAGGAGTTTTGCACCCTACAGGCTAGGACGCTTTCCTAATTATAATCACGTCTACTGATAAGAATTTATTATAGAAATCTATGCTGAGATACCCCCTAGCCATAATAAATGCATATTCATCACAAAATATGGCTCCTCTGGTGCGAAAATACGCATGCGCGAACACACTAACGTAGCTAGATTGCATGTGTACTGACTGGTATATGCAGCGGGTACATTATATGCAAGGTCCTCTTCCTATTTCTTAAGACAGGTCTACAGATAGAATTTTATAATATAAATCTATGCTAGAATATCTCCTCTCCACTTTAAATGCAGAATTTTCGCAAAATATAATTCTTCACAGAAGATATTGCACATGCGCGAGCACCGTTTCAGGAGTGCAGTACGGACTAATGACAAGTGCATAATATATAGCTTGCTTTGCTAAGAGAGAGAGAGGAGTGGGAGACTGAGGAAAGGCGACAGGGAAGATATCTTAGGGGTGGTAGAAAAAGAAGGCGGCTGAGCAAGCCACAGAAGAGGCAGGCAAAGGAGGGGAGTGGATGAAACAGGAGTTTTGCACCCTACAGGCTAGGGCGCTTTCCTAATTATAAACACAGGTCTACTGATTAGAATTTATTATAGAAATCTATGCTGAGATTCCTCCTCTCCACTTTAAATACATAATTTTT